TAGTGTGGGCAGGGGGGGGGGGTTGACCCCAGGACATCCCAGGGTCAAAAAAAAGCCACACAGAAAAAAATGGGTAGCGCATGTGGAGGCAGAGTGCACCACCCAAAACCAGAGCCTGGGCAGCCAGAGCCATGCTCCAGCTACTGGACAGGCTCCCAGCTGCAGGAGTGACGCAACTGCAGCTTCCCCAGCCCCCAGGACTCCAGGTAAAACTGCTGGGGCTAGCACAGTTGCTTGCCCCAGCCACCCCTACCCCACCCAGGATAACCTGCCGTGCACCAGAGGTCCTGTGGTATGGGTGGTCCCCAGGGAAACACTTTTTTGCCACTGCTACTTGTCCCTGGGGAACCAAAAGTCCATGTTCATCTGTATGAGGCCAATGAGAGCATCCACATCTCAACTCTCCTGAATATCTCTTGCAAATGTGGTTTTAATGGCTGCAATAGGTTGAAGCAGTGGTTTTCAACCTATGGTCCACAGACCCCTGGGGGTCCACAGACTATGTCTAAGGAGTCCTCAAAAGACGACTATAATCGTAAGTATATGAATATCTACACTTACAATTCAAAGGGGTCTGCACCTCCATTTGAAATTTTTTAGGGGTTCACAAATGAAAAAAAGTTTGAAAGCCACTGGATTAGTTTGCAGCAACACAGTGACTTTCAGAAGTCTGCAAGGTAACATACTGGAGCGAACTAAAAATGTGGAACTTGGAAAGACATCTAACTCACCTATTTATGGAGCTCAAAAGTTCAGATATTTAAGCCTTGTTTGCATTTTTGTTGCTTATATTTAGGAGGAAGGGGAAAAATAATCAATCACAACAGCTTTTGGATACTTTTTTTAAACAGAAACCTAAAATACTAACAATTTGCAGACAGGGATTTCATTTGACAGAAAGCTGCAGAATAGTGCATTTCACAACTTTGTTAGAGCAACACAAATATAAATAGCAATGTTCATGTTAAGCATTCCTGCCTTGAATGCAACATTCTTAAAGCAAAACAGAGATCCAAGGCTTATTCCCATATTACAAGTTGAACTCATAATCAAACAAATATTTGGCTATCTAAACAGACTTGACAAGACTATTGGAGGCACTGAGCTACTTCCGTTTCCCCCAGCACTTTGGGCACAGTGGGGAAAAGACGACAATACCAAGTGTCAATCAGGTTATAAACAGATGTTGCATTTTTCCCAGAAGGAAGTGCTTTGTCCCACACCTAAGTGTGAGTTTGCAGATGTACATGTCTGCTACCCTGGCATAAAATGTGCCATCACTTTTTGGGGGGGTATTATGAAGTGCATCTATGTAGTTATCCTGGGCCAGCATCCTGGGACAAGCTGACCATAGGGTACTCCAGAGAGCCCACAATGCACTCCTCCCACCCCAAACCTGGCCACTCTTGAACCCAGGGCAGCCACTCCAAGCATGGAGGACAGAGCTCTACTATGTGGTGGTTACAGGTGGCCTCACCCACCCTTTGACTGTCCTGCATGGTCAAGGTCAGCACTGGCACCTCATCCCAAGGACTTCCCAGTAGATAACGCAGACTCCAGCCAGGGCTGCAGCCACCTCTTCTACCACTATCAACAAGCATGGCGCCAAAACTGGGAGCCAAGACAAGGTGGTGGACCTGATGGCCACCTGGAGTGAGGTGGACAACCCGCCACTCCAAAGCAATCACTGCCCCCCTCAAGGCAGGTGCGCGTCCCCACCAAAGCAGGGAATGCACAAAACTGAGCAACAAATCCAAGCTCCCAGGTAGAGCTCTGCAAACAGCAAAGTCCCTTGCTCCTGGCCTGCTCTCAGGCCACCTCCCCTCCCCTGTGCCGTGTTCACAGGGATGGCGCACATCTCACCGTCAAGGCAGCAGCCTCGCCACGTGCTCACACCATGCCCACGTCCCTTCTGGACTCCAGGCACCCATCGCTGCACTCGGGGCAGCCTCTCACCAGACACATGGCGCCCCTCACCTAGGGCCGCCAACTCTGCGCGCATCTATTCTGGGAGGCTTCATCACATGATGTTAGGACATTCATGACTCTTACATCAAGGCACATGCCTATTGCATTTAAAAACCCCCAGGGGACGGCTGTATCGATCAGATTCAACAATGTAACATGTATGTGAACCAGTGCCCTCTCACGTCTCTCCCGGGTGGCTCCCCGCGGGCTCCAGGGCAGTCCCCCCTCACCACACCACACCACACCGGCGGCGCCCTCCGCAATCCCTGCCCATCAGCCCTCGGGGCGGGGCGCACGGCCCTTCCCCGGGGGGAACAAGGCTGAGCCTGGCTCGGCGGCTCTCCTGACCCCTGCACGGGTTGTGGCGGCCCCCCAGTCCCCGCGCAGGACGAGGTGGAGCTGGCGACCAGGGGCGGACGGCTGGCCCACGCGGCGCGGCGCGGCGCGGCGCGGCCCAACTCACTCACCCGGCGGCAGCTCTCGGGCGGGCCCACGTGGGCGGCGGAAAGGGCGGGGACGGGGCAGCGTCCGCCCGGCTCCTCCTCCCTACACCGCGCGGGCGGGGGTTGTGGCCTTGGTGCAGTTATGTCAGCCTTTGGGCGACGGAGACCAGGAGCAGCGTTCACACTGTGCCGTGAGGCAGGCTGCAGCCACGGGGGGCTCAGGGCAGAGGCGGGTGATGACCGGGGGATGGTTCCCGCTTCTCGCAGATCACACCTTGGAGGCGGGGTGCTGCGCGGGCAACCTCTTCAGACACGTCTCTCGTTGTGCTGCGATGAAAGACATCCTCAGCCAAGTCTGAAGCCGGTTGCTTACTCCCACTTCCTTATTCCCGGTTCCTTATTCCTTAGTCGAGCTGGGGATGAGCAACCAGCTTCGGCCTCGTGTCTAAAGCAGCGTTTCAACGCCAAGAGCAGGGGCAGAGTCAAGGTTCACAAGCCACTGGCTTCCCCCCCTCAGGTCTTAGCCACATGTCCAACGAGACGGAGACAAAAAGACAAGCCTTGCATGATGTGATATTTGTATGAGGATGATGTATTAAGTGGTCTGTGAGCTGCAACTGCAGCCAACCGTGGGTCTAACCTTAAATCTCTGAGGCTGGTGAAACTGGATAGCTGCTGCCTTCTGACCAAAGTCTTTCCTTTGGGTCAGTCTGATAGCTTTTATTAGACACACTCAGATTTGGACCCCTAAAAAATTTCAAATGGAGGTGCATGCCAAATTTGAGTGAGTCTAATAAAAGATATCGGATTGACCCAAAGAACCTTGTCTGTGAAACATACCGTCCGTTTTGAGGCAGCTTATTGATGCAGCAGAGGCAAAACCCCAGTCACAGGCAACTGCTAGCAGGGGCATGGTGGGGCACATGCCCCCCCGACAGGGCCATCCTCACCGGCAGCTTCTGCGGGTGCTCACCAGCCCCATCCCCGCCGCCAGCTTCTGCAGGTACCGCCCCCCAGACTCAGGAGGCACCAATCGTCCATGACCCCAGTCACTCTCAGGGAGTTTTAACCAACTTGGGGGGTTGCTGTCAGCACTTTCTTACAACTGCATGCCTAAGAATAAAGAAAGGCTTCAATGTGGATGACTCAGTTCTCACTCACTCCAGGCAATTTACAGTGAGCATTATAAATAAGATGACTTATTTGCCTGTTTGTTCAGTGTACAATAGTTTTGCAGCAAGTATGATCACTTGGAGCTTCCAGTGCTATGATTTTGTATTTAAGACCTGGCAATGCAGGACGCACATCCCCCCAGGCCCAGCAGCGCCTAGGTGGGGCATCGCCACAGGACGGCAATGACAACCCAAAGCTCCTATGTCTCTTTTTCCTGCAATTCAAACGATCAGCCCAGGCCAGCTGCAGATCTCTCAAGGAAAAGGCGAAACACCCAGCTAGAGCCATGCCTTCCAACTCTGCCCTCAGGTGCACCCCCTGTGGCCACCAGCCCTCCCTCTTCACTACCCCATGTCCCCACCAGCCCTGATTCAGCTCCCCAGGGAGCAGAGCAGCTGCTGATCAGCCTAACCATCCCCAGTGCACCTCATATTTTGAGTCCCATGAGCAGCATGTTGAATCTGCCTTCCCTGGAGGCTATGGATGGATGCCACACACTGGTGTCACTTCCCAGCCAGTGTCCAGATTGGGCACCTCAGTTTAGCACCTGGTAGGCCATCCAAGTCAGGGCTCACCCAGCCCTGATCAATCAGTGGGGGATCGTCCAGTCACGGACAAGGCTGAGCCTAACTTACCTGCTTGGCTTCTCAACTCACTTCTCCCTTCAAAGGATCTGGCAGCACCAAGGGAGGCCCATCACCCTGGCTGGGAATCACTTTGCTATGGAGATTGCTACGCCACATGGATCTCATGCATCCAAGAGGCCTCAGCTTTCCTCCAGAGCTCTTTTCTCTGCCCCCTGATTTAAGCTGCATCAGCCTGGGAGTAGCAGTGGGTCAGAGGGTGCCCCACTAACTAACATTGGATTAGTTATGGTGCCCTCCCTATTCCCAGCCTAAGAGGCAATGCAGCCTGGCTCATTCAAGGGCAGGGGCAGCCACTTCGGTCCACCCAGCTCTGCCCTTGTTCACAGAGTTCCCAGTGAATGTGCTCCTCAGGGCCCCTGTTAATGGGGAGTTCCCTTCCAACTGCCCTCAGGTACACCCCCTGTAGCCACCAGCCCTCCCCCACCCCCCATTTATCCACCAAGCATGCTCAAGAGGGTCTCACTGACCTTCCCATGATGGACCTATACTAAAAAGTTCCCTTCTCAGGGACAAAAGTATTACACTTCCCCTCCCAGAGGGGCATTGGGGTATGGCTTGCACCAAGAAAGAGTTGGACAGGCAGTTTGCACCTACAGCTGCTTTTGTCTGCAGAGCCATTGTCCAGTTTGGGCCAAGAGCCCAAACAGAACCTCAATCCCATTAGCTAATGGGATCAACCACCACCCTACCCCTACTGGAGATAGCACTTAACACATCACCTGTTCTGGCAGGATTGGTTTCCCCAAGTAGATGAGGCCCTAATGCATCTCACCATGATGTACCTCAGCCTCCCCCCAAGAAGTCTGCAAAAGTCTTAATTTAAAAGAAAACCATCTCTCTGAAACACCTTTCTACCTCCAAGTATTTAATAGGTGTGCCTGTGAGTAAAGGCTTATCTGGAAACTACCTCACAGGAATACACAATAGGCAGTGGGTATCACAGAGCCACAGAGACAGAAAGCCTCATTCTGATTTTTTTAACATTCCCCCCATTGAATCAATATAGACTTTAGTTTGTCCGCATTCCTCTTTCTTCCCCACCCTAACCCCCTGAAGCTTAGTTGTGTTCCAGAATCACTCTTCCAACAGTATCCTGAAAACATATTCAGAATCATCATCACTGTGGCAGGCTCTGGGTTTTATTGTAGTAGTTCTATTTTAAATGTGCTTGTGTTGTAATCAGTGTTGCATGCCTCAGTTTCCCTAGCTAACTTTGTACAGAGGGGAAGGAATGGGGTAGAAGACAGTGACACCAGAATTGCTGAGCTGCTCAACAGAAGACAAGTCCATCCCCAAAGATGTGAATGACCTTGTTAGCACATCAACATGGTGAGAATGGAGGCCACACCCAGGGGGCTTCCAGGGTAGCTGGGCAGATACTTCCAGGGCAGCTGGAAGAGATGAGTATGAAAATGGATGGAACAGCCAAGGAACAGCATGGCAACCTAAGACCAGGGGAGAGTGTGAAGAGAGTGAACAGCAGAATAACTTTGGGAGCCTGTGCAGAGGGGAGAGAACAGCTGAGCTAACCTTGGAGTGCTCTGGGGTATGCAGGCTGGACTGGGGACAGAGGGACCCCTTTGGAGGAAGCTGGGTGGCCTTTGCTCTAATAAATGCCTTCTGGTGAAACAGAGCTATCAGATTTATTGCATGAAACTGTGATGCGTCTCCCTGGAGCGCTAAACTGGAAGGTAACTGCTGATGCAGGACCATGGAAAACCAGGAAGGATCAGGGATCAAAAGGCTGGCATCTTTCAATTGGAAGGAGCGAAAGCTCCCCTTCTACCTAAGAAGCTATGCCTGGGCTGCATTCATGGGATACTCAGAGGGATGGGACAAGTCTGGAGGACCCAAGTAAGCACCCCCAGGTGGTATCTGTGACCATATTAATCTTCCTAAAAGTATATTTTATTTCCATAAAGTAATATACCTAATAACATTTGATTTCCATTTTGGTGGATGTCACGTGGAAAATGTTAGCTGACTTTTGCCAAAGTTCAATCATTGTTCATTCATAGCTCATAAACAATTAAATACCTACACTTTACAAAGTAGTTTTGCCAGCAAAAAGATGAACTAGCAAACTTCAGCTGTCAGTTCTATCTTGTTAATGTAAGTGGAAAAGAATAAGAGAAGATAGATACGTGCAAGAAAGACTACTCAAAAACATAAGAGGATTTGTAGGATTAGTAATGGGAATAATAGAGCCTTTCCCCCACTAAATTACCCATTGAAAGTCAGCTCCTTTGTGCAATTAGTTTTGTAGTCTCGTTCTGTTTTGCAGTCTCTGGAAGTCCAAGTAAAATGTTTGTCTTTCATGATTAGCATTAATTAGGCCTTTTGAAATCATTGTCAGATTCAAATTGTTTCTGTGTCCTGTAATGCATTCAGCAAGCGCCTGGATGCATAACAAATAAAATGGTAAGCTATCACACATTAATTAACAATCATAATAATGCATATAAATGGATGAGTTTATTTTCCAAGACATTCAGTCATGTCTCTGCTGCTGGATGTGCCTGTTTGTCACCACATGAGCCATTTAAAAACAAAATCAAAGCTGCTTCTGAAAGCTATAGATCCTGGGCTATTTCGCGTATCCAGATCACTTAGGTAGGAAAGAAGTTTGTCACTGGAAAAATCCATATGTGCAAAAAATTCACTTTTTAAGGGTAGATAATAGGTACTTTTTTAATTAGGTTTCTTTCTCCCTCTTATTTGCCTGTCACATTTTTTCAAAGATATCTTCAAGTTCCTTGGTCTGATTTGTTACTGAGAGATAGTTAGCCCTGTTAGTCTGAAGTCAGGCACCTTATAGACTAGCAGTGGTGCCCAATCTAGCAGCCCAGCAAGCCAGACAAGTAGCACAGGGTCAGCCCATGGGCTGGATCCCAGACAGTGTCAGCACGTGGGATTGGCCACATGCCAGCATAACCCCACATGCTAGCACAATTTAATGTACAGGCCCAGGTTATTAGGCTTACACTGCTCCCCAGGGATCCAGAAACTTGGCAGAAGGGGAGCAGCAATTAGCCCTGCCACCATCATATTTCTGGACCTGTGGAGAACCTTGCAGACCAGATGGCATGGCTGCATGGGCTAGATCTGGCCCATAGGCCAGAGCACCGCTAGCACTAACTGAATCAGAGATGCAGAAGCTGTGGCTCACAAAAGCTTATTCATCTCTCATTCTATTCATCCATAAGATGAACCTCTACTTTGCCTTCTGCCTGATTTATTATTGGCTCAGATATTTATATAAACA